CCCCTTTTCCTGCAATAAAAAGGAACATTTCAATTGAAAGCTCATAAATTCCATCAAATATTATTCAACTGCAAAAGGAATTGCATATTTTTAATATCTGTAGTTTTTGATGCATAATTTATGAGTTTTTCCGTGCATTTTTCCGTTGATATTCATATATGAATGTATTTATTTTGTCTATAAGCAGAACATTTGCAAACATACCAGAAACTGTGTAAATAAATATATCTGATGTATTTATGTGTGCATTTATTTATTGGGCTCTCACCGTTCGTTGCTCCCTGCCTCTCGCTCATGGAATATTTAGGCAAGGATATCCATCTCTCAAATAGGTTATATGCAATGACTTATGCAGCCAAACTGGGTGGGGAATTGTTTTATTTAATCTTTAGGGGTACGTCTTTTGGTAATAAGATGCTGCCATTGGGGCATAAATAAAATGAGAATTTATTGTGTTTTTATGCCCCTGTACTTAAAAAGAAAGGGGTGTACATTTGAAGCTAATATATGAAGAAAAAACTCAACGAAGATGGCTCTACTCTTTGGCATTTTCGTTCGGATAAACAGAAACCCACACATAGAAATTAATTGCCGGGCATCTTTGTGTCCAGGCACGTGTGTCTCAACTGTAGACTTCCGAGTGGTTTTCATTACAGTTAACAGAGAGATATACGCACATTGGCACACATTTATTATTGCCGCACCAACAGATGTCCGTTGTAGGTGCTGTCTCTGCGTTTTTGTCCGTTTGTACTCGTATTGCCTGTCCGTGTTTGCCCGTGTCTCTTGTTGTTTGTGGCCTAATCGATAGCACGTGAGGCTTAAAGGTGAACGACTGTGTCACTGGCGGGTTGAACGCACAGCAAAGACAAAGGGAAAGTGGTGGAGTGCGGGGCCACACGGCAACAGGACGACGAAGCAGACGTCACACACAAATTGACTTTTTAAGGAGGCAACAATGTGGCTACAGCTGACGCCGCCAGCGAGGTCCCCCCCCCCCACCATACCCCCAGTATAATAATAATGGAGGCGCAATAAAAAAATGTGGGCGAAACAGAAGCATTTCTAGAACAGAACCTCCTCCCCAAAGACCCAACCGCTACATGGAATCTCACCCAATGACTGCCAAAGACGTTCAACGTTCCACATTCTACATTTTCATATCATTGTGTATCTGTGTGTGGCTGGGCGACCCTTGCGGTGTGTGTGGGTGGGACAGCCTCGCTGTCATCGGAAAATGACGGCATTACGGCATTTACAGTTAATGCCTTTATGTCCTCGAGGATTTGCCTTGACATGCGGTTGCCCAAGGGGGCGATGGGTACCCCCTGGGGGAATCACATTCTTTAGCATAAAATTTGATTTTATTCGGGTGGAAGAAGCCATTGGCCAAAACTATTTAGGGACAGACAACGAAAACGACGACGACGACGACTGTCTGTTAATCTGCCAGAAGTAGTTCATATGCTAAGTGGAAAAGGGACAGCAAGAGAGAGTTTAGATTGTTGTTTAAAATGTGTGAGTAATGCTGAGGGGATTGTCAAATGAACGAAGTTTGTTTTGATTGGGTTTTTCCACTGCTGTTGATTTGAATTTATAGTGCAGTATCCTCATTCCTTTTAGGATTCGCATATAGTTCATCATTAGTTGTTGGACAGTTTATGGTAGTCGAATTTTCCATTTAACACACATCCATAACTTTTCAAATGGTTTTCCATTCGCTCGTTTCTCGTGTGTGTGTGTGTTGCCGTCTTTCAGGCGCATTCAAAGCCGCAATTTCCAATTAAGTATTCATTTCGTTTTGTCAACTCTAACAATGGAAATTCATTGCTTGTGTGTGCCACAACATCAACATCAACAGCAAACAGCAACAACATCAACAACAATAACCATAACTATTGCCTAGAATAACAACAAATCCCTCCCACATATGACCCCCCTTGGAAAAGCTCCTTTTATGCCCCCCCCATTCAGCCCACCGCACAAAAAGTGAAATAGAAAATTACAATTTCATGTCACACACACACACACACACACCCATATGAACCATATCTGTCACACAGAAACACAAACACACCCATAAACCTTCTCAATGTACCGCTTGTCGGCAGGAGAGAGAGAGAATCCGAGAATTGGTAACACTGGGCAACGTTTTACTGTTACTCCTCCTCTCCATTCTCCTCCGCCACATATCAACTATGAAATATTCGTATCGTATTTTTGTGTGTCTCCCACACGTCATCCTCCATTTAAATTGAGCTTTTGATACGGCACATTTTGTGTGTGTGTGTGTGTCTGTAAGGGTTATAAATTGCTCTCTAGGCACACTGCGCCACCTTTCGGTCATTGGCAGCTACTGTGTGGCACACGGACACAGGTGGCGGAGGTGCGGAGGAGGGGCCGGTCAGTCAGTGCGAAATAGCAAAACAGCTGCCAAGCTGTAATCCCAAAGAACATTACTCAGGAGTTGTGGGATTAGGACCAGAGGATAAAGTATCTACTGTGAATACCCTTTCGGTAAAATAAAGGAAGATTAAACTGTGACAAGCAGTTCATGGACCAAAATCAGTTAAAAAGTTCAACAAGCAATGGATAATTGAGTAAATATCATAAAATTATAGATATGATTTCCCACAGAGCTTTTCAGCTTCACTTATTTGCAATGCGTGGACATTAACTCCCTAAAATTGTAGCAAGCAGTTTAGTTCCCAAGCAGTGGACACGCTTGACAAGCAAAAGATTTGGAACATCCCAGAGCTTAATGCTCTCATAAGACTATCTATTATTATGGCTCTTTCTCTACTGTTCTGAATGGACTAATCCAGTCAGTGACATTTAATGTGTACCAGAACGAGTACCAGTACCAGAACCATAAAGATGTGATGATATAGAATTTCCCAACAAGCATTCCAGCTTCTCTTTTTTGGCTGCTCTCCATTCGTACCTCTCTCCGTGGTCTCGTCTCTTCTCGTCTGACGTTCGTGGGGAAGGTTGCTTGACCTCCGTGCAACTTTTCTCGCTGTTGTTGTGGCTGGGTTCATGAACTCGCCGAAAAATAAACTTTGCCTTTTTTATGGGCAAATCCATACGAAACTTTTATTGCTGTTGTTGTAACGGTGGATTTTAAAGCGTTACACGTTGTGTTTATCAAGCTGAGAGCGAGCGAGGACAATAAAGGCAGACGATACCAGTCATGCTTAAGGGCAGGACATTCACGTGTATCAATACATCAAGCAGTGAGCTGCTTATCCAGAATGAAGCACTGCTTGCGGCTGGGTAGATGAACTTTGTGTTTATTGTTCTGTGAACTGCTCGTACTAAATGTCGTACGGGCAAGCAAAGAAAGAGTGTTCCTAGCCTGGCACAATTCTCCCCCCGAGGCACTGTTGCCGCTCTTCACTGTGCCTGTGCCTCTGCCACTGCCTAGCCTGAAACCAAAGACACTTTCCTAACCATTTTCATTTCGATTGGCATTTTATGGATTTCCTTGGGCATTCTAGTTGCGTTCGGCTTTCGGCATGACAGTTGGTTGAGCCTCACTTGAGTCTCTGGCTAAAACATGGCTTTAATAATTGATGCCCTGCCATGCGGAGCGACACAATGACTGGATATTAGCTAATGCCACAAAATGCATCCTTCCCCGTTGCCAACTACCAGCAGACAGGGACAATTTCATGGCAGCTGCACACACACAGACACAGACACAGACACACAACAAATGCGCAACAATAACAATTAAAATGTGAAACTGCAGCAGCAGTCCGGCAGCAACAACAATCGAAATTGCCTGGGGAGTGTCCAAGCCGATGAGTGGGAAAGAGAAGTACAGCTATAATCATACTCTTGTGCTAGTTTGTGGCCTTGGCCTCGCTCCCGCCTCTCTGCAGCAGTTCCATCGCTCGTACTTATCTCTCATCTGCTCTACACTCTCCACACTCCACTTTGCTACTCTTCGCACTCCGCTCATTGGAGACCATAATTATCCAATTGAACAATAAACAGATGCCTGCCAGGCTTGAGTCAATAGACAAAAGCAATGCGAAGCGGGGGTGGAGTGGAGAGGGATAGTGCCGTGCCTGAGCCTGTCCAGCTGGCAACATTTCAAACTGCAGTTTTGTTGTTACTGCTGCTGCTGCTGTTGTCTCTTCCACTGCAGCTCTATTGCAGTTGTTGTTGCTGCTGTCTCTTTCACTACAGTTACTGTTGTTGTTGCTGCTGCCTGCTGCTGCATTTGCTGTTTTGTGGCTATTGTGGGATCGTTGAGAGCGACTGCAACTGTTTTTGCCTTCTGGCTGATGCAGAGTGATGAGAGCCGATAACTGGAGATAACTGTGATTTCTGTTACTGAGTGTTGCGCTCTCTTTTAATTTTGAACTGCTTGCTGTGCTCTCTTTTCTCTTACTCTCCAACTCGACTCCTCCGCTCTTACACAGTTAACAGTTTGCTTGCATTGAAATGATATCACTAGCTGTCCCTTTTGCTCACACTCCTTTTTGCACACCTTAGCAAGTTCAGGGCACAGGCTAACAGGCTGATCGAGGCAGGGCGAACAATCAATATTCAACTGAAAATGAACAAAAATAGTCGCTTAAAAAAGGAATTTCAAATAATAAACAAAAATAACTTGGCATCTCTATGCGAAAGCTCTGGCACGAGTTCAGTTTTGCTGTTGCATCCGCTGACAAAGGTCCAGTGCAGGGATGATGCCAGGGAAGTTACTGTCTGCAGAGTAGTTGTCCTACGATGGACGTCCTCTGGGGGCCAAGTCAAGTGTAATAATGTGCCAAAAACGTTTAGACAGCACCCACCGGACACCACCAGGACAATTGCAGGACTGCTGCTCGGCCATTGCGGCTGTGGCTTGTCTGCCCGAATGGACATGGGTCAGTGACTGGCAATGGCAGGGGACAGACTCCTTTGTCTGGCAAATGCACATTTAATGAATATTTATTAACGTTAACTAATTTTAGCTTTTGCTTTTGTTTATCTTTACTCTGCAGGTGCAGCAATGTCCCCAAAAACCGCAAGGACTAACCAGCAGAAGCAGCAACAGAAGCAACAGCAGCAACAGCAGCAGATGTCCGACGAGGAGTGGCAGCGGCAGTAGGCGGAGTCACAACATTTTTTATACCCGAGATGCGTTTTTGCGGATCGGCAGACACTCAGATAGCAACACACAGATAAAACCCCTGCAAATCCACACACAAAAACACACACAAGGCAATGCCCTCCAACTGCAACTTTTGATGCGAACCGTGCGGCACCCGCTGAGAGGCCCCCGGGAATACCCACTTGACTGATAGTTTAAACTACTACTAAAGTAAACCACACGGAATACGGCAGAACACACAGACAACTTTTAATTATTGTTAAGAACAACAACAGCAAACAACGATCCGCAAATGCCAAATATGTGTGAAGGCTGAACACATACACGAAACACACGAAACACTGAGAGACCGAGAGACAGAAATACTGAGAACTGATAACCAGTAGAAGGCTCAAAAGTTGGGAACAGAAATCACAGAAATCATCCACGCATCATCACCATCATCACCATCATGGGCAACAAGTGCTGCAGCAAGCGGCAGGATCAGGAACTGGCTCTGGCCTATCCCACGGGCGGCTACAAGAAGTCCGACTACACCTTTGGCCAGACGCACATCAACAGCGGCAGTGGGGTTGGCGCCGGCGGCCTTGTTCAGAAGCACAACAATGGCGGCTCCCTGGATTCGCGCTACACCCCCGATCCCAATCATCGTGGGCCACTGAAAATTGGCGGCAAGGCTGGCGTTGACATCATTAGGACCCGCACCACACCAAGTGAGTGGAAGTAGAAGTAGAGTAGAGACCTTTGCCCCGATCTAATATTCGTGCATTATCATGAATTCGTAATTAGTTTGGGGTTTTAATTCCCCGATGGGATAGGAGGGCAGGTGGTAATTTCTGCTTTTAATTAGCAATTTGACTTTTTGCCTGCCACAGAGATACAGAGGAGATTGGCTTTAACCTTTTGCGGCCTTGTGTTTGCATATTTATTCGTAATGTGTTTGTTGGCAAACCAAACGTACCAACACCAACACCAACACCAACAGCAATCTACTTGCAACAGCCATAATTAGAGTCAGTCTCTCCCTCTCTGGAGGCCCACCCAAGGAAACTCATTTGTGGCATGTGGCAGTGTCAGTGGCAGTGGCAACGCAATTCCCATATTTGCACGGGTAATATGATGACAGTCGTTAACCTTGACCAGCTTCTAGGGTGCGTGCCACAGCAGCGAGCGAAGGGTTACAAACGATAAGCTGGTAGGGGCATCGGGTGCTGAATTAATGCCACTGCAGAGTGGGGAAATTGCATAAAATATGACGGCATTGTGTGGCCTTTATAGAGAAGGGGGGAAATTATATTATAAAAACGAAGTAAAAAGCAAGAAATTCCATCCTTTGACAGCGCCATGTCCGACTTTATGACTTCAGTAGCAAGTGGAAAAGTTATCATTGCAATGCAAAACTTAAATAACAACAGACAGTATGGACTCTAGAGGATGGGCGGGCAATCCTCTGGGGAATGCACTGACATCTTATGGATAAATGTACTGCTTGTAGTTTCTACATTCGTTTTATTTTTGAATGGCATATTATTTTGATGTGACCTGTCATGGGGCTTTTTTCACTGCTGCCGCTTAGACCTCGCATGCAAACGATTAGCTCTGACAGCAGTTCGTATCCCTGGCATGGCATGGCATAGGCGGGGACCCCGTTAAAGCCGCTTAGGTCGTGTAAACCCATCAAATGCGCCTATAGAGGTTGAGTGCTTGGCCAGGGCAGTGATTTGTGCTGGCTCTTTGGGTCTCTGGCTTTGTCAGCACGAGCATTGAAACATTCGAATGGATGAAAATACATGGCCCAATGGAGGGCAGGCAGCAGCGAAGCGGCCAAGGCAACAAAAGTCTGTACATGTCGACAAGTGCAGTTTATTTATGCGTTCGCCTTGCCTAAATCAATTAGCCAAATGCAAGTCAGTGCCAAATTTGTGGCTTGGCAGCAGCAAAATGAAATTGTTTCGGGCCCCAGAAAGTATGCTATCCAATTTGCATTTGGCCGCCTGTCTGCCGCCCCAAAACCCAACACGAACCCCTACTTGAACTCATTAAATTGTAATTAACTTTTGATGGGATGCGACAGGCAGGACAACAAAAATGTACAAAAAAAAGCAACATGAATTTTCCCAATTTGTCGCCATAAATTGCAAATTTACGGCTGCAAATCAAATTTACAGACCCCGACGCCAGACACCCAGAAAATTGCCACTAACTCTCGCTCCACTCTTTCGCTCTCTCGCTCTCTCTCTCTCTCTGTCTCCGTAGCTGGTGTGCCTGGTGTCGTACTGAAGCGCGTTGTGGTGGCCCTCTACGACTACAAGTCCCGCGATGAATCCGACCTGAGCTTCATGAAGGGCGACCGCATGGAGGTCATCGACGACACCGAGTCCGATTGGTGGCGCGTCGTCAATTTGACTACACGCCAGGAGGGACTCATACCGCTGAACTTTGTGGCCGAAGAGCGCAGCGTGAACAGCGAAGAGTAAGCATTGGGAGAAAGCCCACTCCAAAGTCAACTCCTCTAATCCTGTTTCTCCCTCCCGATAGCTGGTTCTTTGAGAACGTGCTGCGCAAGGAGGCGGACAAGCTGCTGCTGGCGGAGGAGAATCCTCGTGGCACATTCCTGGTACGCCCCTCCGAACACAATCCCAATGGCTACTCGTTGTCGGTGAAGGACTGGGAGGATGGACGCGGCTACCACGTGAAGCACTATCGCATCAAGCCGCTGGACAATGGCGGCTACTACATAGCCACCAATCAGACATTTCCCTCGCTCCAGGCTCTGGTCATGGCCTACAGCAGTGAGTATTTAGTTCGATAAGAGATTCAAGAGTGGAAGTCATTAATGATTGTTTGCTTTCCTTTCTTGAGAAGAAAATGCCCTCGGCCTGTGTCACATACTGTCGCGTCCCTGCCCCAAGCCCCAGCCACAGATGTGGGATCTGGGGCCAGAGCTGCGTGACAAGTACGAGATACCACGATCGGAGATTCAGCTGCTGCGGAAACTTGGACGCGGCAACTTCGGCGAGGTCTTCTACGGCAAGTGGCGCAACAGCATCGATGTGGCAGTCAAGACGCTGCGCGAGGGCACCATGTCCACGGCTGCATTCCTGCAGGAGGCGGCCATCATGAAGAAGTTTCGTCACAATCGCCTGGTGGCACTCTACGCAGTTTGCTCGCAGGTAGGAACTCCTGTCAAGTTCCCATTCAAACAACTTTCTAACACTCGAATCGAATTCCTTTTGCAGGAGGAGCCCATCTACATTGTGCAGGAGTACATGTCCAAGGGCAGTCTGCTGGACTTTTTACGTGAAGGCGATGGCCGCTACTTGCATTTTGAGGATCTCATTTATATAGCCACGCAGGTGGCCAGCGGCATGGAGTATCTAGAATCCAAGCTGCTCATCCACCGCGATCTGGCGGCACGCAATGTTCTCATTGCCGATAATAATGTGGCGAAGATTTGTGATTTCGGACTGGCACGTGTCATTGCCGACGACGAGTACTGTCCCAAGCAGGGCTCCCGCTTCCCCGTCAAGTGGACGGCGCCCGAGGCCATCATCTACGGCAAGTTCTCGATCAAGTCGGATGTCTGGTCATACGGCATACTGCTGATGGAGCTGTTCACGTACGGGCAGGTGCCCTATCCGGGCATGCACAGTCGCGAGGTGATCGAGAATATCGAGCGCGGCTTCCGTATGCCAAAGCCTACCAATCACTACTTCCCCGACAACATCTACCAGCTGCTGCTGCAATGCTGGGATGCGGTGCCCGAGAAGCGGCCGACCTTTGAGTTCTTGAATCACTACTTTGAGTCGTTCTCGGTCACGTCCGAGGTGCCGTATCGAGAGGTGCAAGACTAAGAGGAGTACCCAAACACCACACACCACACACCATACACACCCCCCCACTTCACATAAACACACACGCAAACATACAACACATATATAGTACATAAAGTTATACATATATTATACATTTATATGCATATTTACTATAATTCGTAAGACTTTTTAAAATGGCATCGTTGCATACCAACCAACCAACCAACCAGCAGACATGCAACTAAATGAAACTCTACTCTAAATGTATGTGTTTAAGCGTATTCAAACAACAATTCAGAAAACCAAACAAAGGCAAAAAACACAAAAAAAAAAAGAAACCACAAAATTTTATATTTTACACGCAAAACTATTTTATAATTTATATACCTAAATGTATGTACTATGGAAATAGCAAGTATTTAACTAGTTTTGTAAGCTTAACAAGAAGTGGAAACAGAGGCAGAAGCAGAAGCAGAAGCTGGGCCGAAGAAAATTGAATTTCTTATCGAATACACAGCAGCCTCTAACGATTTAACGCTAATGCTACTTTAAACGGTCCTTAGGTGCATTTTATGTATAAACAAAACAAAAGAAAAACCAAACCAAACCAATCTACAAATCAAACTCAAAAACTCTTTGGAACTCCTGCTACTCCGCCCTCTGCTGAATAGATTTTTCCCCCTCTACTTTCCATGTGTACACGCGACTTTATATCGACTAAGCCAAGTATTATTTAACTCAAATCAATCAATCAATCACGACACTTGTGTATTTTGAAATTGTTGCTAAATGATGAAACTCCAATGATGGCATTTACTTATAAGGCGGCCCCACGTCTCCGTCTCCGTCTCCGTCTCCTACTTCCATGTCAACCAGATCTATATATCTATGAAAGAAACAGACAAAAAATATGAATACTATTTTGCTGCTTCCTCCGAGTAGTTGAGAGGCTAAGAAAACAAATTGCATTTTGTACAAATCATTACAAACGGAAAACGCATTTCAGATTCGTTGCTAGCGATTAAACCAATGAATGTTTATAGAGTACATTTAAGTTTATGCCAAAATTATTAATTACTTTTCGTTTTTGTATACTTAAGCACAAGCCACACAAAAACACACACGCAATAATTGGGCACTGTCCATGTAGCATAGATCCTGCAAAATCCTGCAGCATTGGCCCG